CACTGGAGGAAAGACGGTGTGGCTAGCTCAGTCGCATAGACCTCACAGCGTGAGATCTTTTGGTGACGCTTGGAGTCGTAGGCTGCCATCCCACCAAAGATCATGAGGTAGCCGTCTAGGGTCGAAAAGCCACCATCCTTCCCCTTGGGGTCGTCTACCACCAGCTCAGGCTTCTTTCTTTGGTTCCCCTTGTTGGAGCCGCCAGACAGGAACCGCTTCATGAGGGCGCAATCCTTGTACAAATGCTTGACGAGGAAGGTGTGGTTTGGGCATGGCCCCTCGAGCAGCTTCTTGAAGTGGTCGGGAGCATTCTCGATGGGCGCCCGGCCATCTTTCCGCTCGGTAGCGGCCACGAGTGAGCCCCCGTGCTGCTGCTTGTTCTTCTTCTTGTTCGGACAGTTAGAGGGGCCCTCGTCGATGTCCTCGTCTCGCCACGCTTTGCCTTTAGAGTGATAAAAAATCGCTCCGACCGCCTCCTCGCCTGAGGCGTGGCTGGTCATGATGTCGAGGAGCTCCTTGGTGGTTCAAGGGCCCTTATGAGCTTGTGGACTAGGGACTCGCGGGTGGTCTCGGACAGGAAGGCTCTGAAGATGTCGATGTCGGTGACATCAAGCAACTCATTGCATTGTCTGGAGAAGCATCGGATGTACTCGCGGAGAGTCTCTCTAGACTTCTATCGACAATTTTTTTAGATCCTAGGGGTTCCTAGGGCACATATAGGTGCCCTAGAAGTTTCCCACAAAGATCTCCTTCAAGTCCGCCCAACTTTGAATCCGGTTGGGCAGAAGGTGCTCCAGCCATGTTCGCGACGAATCTGCCAGGAACAAGGAGAGGTTGTGAATAATGAAGTAATCACTATCCGCACCGCTGGCTTGACAAGCAAGCCGATAATCCTCAAGCCACAAGTTGGGGTTCGTTTCCCTAGAGTACTTCAGGACGTTGGTCGACGGTCCATACCACGGCGGGAAAGCCACGTTGAGGATGTGCCAGCTAAAAGCCTAGGGCCCCTATAGGTCAGGGCTCAGGCTCCGGTCTTCGCCATTATTGTAGCGTCCACCACGACAAGGATGGTAGCCGCGGTCGGCCTCCTCTCTCTTGTCACCCCGTCCGCGCTTGCGAGCGTCTAGGGTGTTGCGTGTGTCACGGTTGGGGCCAAGACGCTCATGCACCGGGACCATGGCAAGTCCCTCGCCGCCATGTGGCGCCTGGTGGACGGATACATCCCGGCCATATCATCCCAAAGACACGCGCTGACTGGCATCGACCTCGCATCGCCGAGACAGCAAGCATCCGTCTGTTGCACTGCTGCGCGCTCGAGTAGCGTGCGGATCTCGCGGTGGGCCTGATGGTCTTCGGGTGTCGCGGGCTCTAGAAGCCTTCGGACTAGGGCCACCATGGCAGCAATGTACTAGCTTGCTCGGTCCAAGTACGTGAGGCCTCCGTCGTCCACGATGATCCTTCGGTTTATGTCACGGCCACCGTCTCCGCGGCACTCGATCTCGCGCTCGAGCTCCACACACTCTTGCTCTAGCTGGAGTCATGCACCCTCGATCTCCTTGTGCCACGCCCTTAGCTGCTCTACTCGTAGGCGAGGCGGGCCCTCTGCATCTCCCTTGACATCATCATCAAGGTCATTTGCAGGAGTAGCCCCTTCATTGTGGATGCTTTTGACGCACCCCTCGGGGGTGTCTACCATAAAGCATTCTCACGAGGGTGATGGCTCCCCATACTGGAGTCAGAGTTGGAGATCGACTCTGAATCTTCCGCGAGAAGGTCGTGGAAAAACTCCGCGATGTAATCGGCCATTCCCATGAATTTGTCATCCGTGGGAGGCGGGTGCATGCGTTGTATCGCGAGGTGACCAACGGTCCTCGCGGCATTGCGCAGACCGAACGAGAACGTTGTCGGGGCGTCCCGGGTGAGATATTTCGGGAAGAGCGGCTCTCCTCCGGCAAGCTACGTCATGATGTTGGTGAAGGAGAAGGTAAGGCAATGCACATCCTCCTAGGATGGTCGAGGTCCTAGGAAGGCTTCAAGCTGGCACTCCAGCCTCCCGTAGTTGAAGTCGAGGAGCTAGTCGCTCCTGGGGACATGGGCCTCTGGTGCACGCAGCTATAGCTCCTCGAGGCCGACGGAATGAAGAGGTCGGGTGGGGATGGGAGCCCGCACCAGCTCTTTCTTCGCCGTGACGATGAAGTCTAGGCTCCCGAAGCGAACGTGCACGCCCGGGACCTAGCTAACACTGTGGCTAGCCATCCATGGCCTGTTGTGGACGATGAGATGCGCAAAAGGCCCCTACCTGGCGCGCCAACTGTCGGTGTTTTGAGTCACCGGCTAGTAAATTTCTAGTTTTCGCGTCTGACCCGGATGGCTGTGCTCGGAGCACACAAGGATTTATACTGATTCGGGCGGAATGCTTCCACGTCTAGTTTGCTGCTGTTCATGTTACCGGCACTTGGTTTATGGTAGGGGTTACAAACATGCGTGAGAGGGAAAAGGTCCCAAATCTCTGATAAAAAGGTCGAGTGGGATTGAGTCTCGCTCTCTTGTTCAGCGCCTAAACCTTCAAATTTTCAGGCGTGTTAGAGGTGTAGGAATGCGACCCCCCCTCCATGGCGCCTACGCTTCCCTTTTATAGATAAAGGGAAGACGCAGTTACATCGAGAGAGAGAGCGGAGAAGAAGGCTTCGGGATTGAGGCGTCCTCCATCTCCTTTACGCGGGTCCCGCCTGCCCTGTAGATGATGACGGGGACGGCTCCATGTCGCGGCCCTGTTTGTCCTTTGGTGCCGACTGTGGCGTCCGTGACTAGTCATGGCGCTCCATTCCATCCTAGCGGACGGTATGGAGTAAGGCGCGCCCACCGGAGGCCGATGGGAAGTAGGTAGCATACAGCAGCACGCCGGTCTTTGTTATACACGTCGTCCTCGACGCGTGGCCCGTCGTGGCCGCGGGTCACGTCAAGACGCGTCTGCTCTCCTTCTGGTGTCAGAAGTTTGACCCTAGACTCGTACTCTTAGACCCGTAGTGGTTGGGGGTGGTACGGACCTCTGTCGAGCGAGGCGGAATCCCCGTTCGAAGGGTCGGGCGAGGCGAAGCCCGCGCCCTCGGGAGCGGGTGAGACGGAGCCTGCGCTCTCGGGATCGGGCGAGGCGGAGCCCGCACCCTCGGGGTCGGACGTGACGGGGCTCTCGTCCGAGGGGTCGAACGAGACGGAGCTTGTGCCCTTGGGGTCGGGTGACCCGGGTCCCTGAGGTCGGGCGAGACGGAGCCCGTGTCCTCGGGGCCGGACGAGACAAAGATACGCTATTGACCATACGAGGGAGTTAGCGTTCGTGGCCATTAGCTTCTTTCTTCTGGTTATCCCTGATACTGATACCCGACTTATGGCTCTTCTAGCTTTGTTGCAGTAGTTGTACAATGACGCTATAATAGAGGAGTCGGAGCACAAGCCTTGTATGGCAGGGCTTCTATGAAGGAGTCATATCACTTGAGGAGTTACTTTTTGTGACTACCGCTTCTATTCTTAAAACAGTTCCGACTCCTCTGTTCATCAGAAAACGGCTCCTCCTAAAGTGTTTAATATGGCTCCTGTAGTTTTTTTCGCTGAAGCTGCTTGCCACAGCTGGAATCGTGACTAACAGGACTTTAATCAATCTAGTGTTTAATATGGCTCCTGTATTTTTTTCGCTGAAGCTGCTTGCCACAGCTGGAATCGTGACTAACAGGACTTTGCCACAGCTGGAATCGTGACTAACAGGACTTCAATCAATCTAGTGTTTAATATGGCTCCTGTATTTTTTTCGCTGAAGCTGCTTGCCACAGCTGGAATCGTGACTAACAGGACTTTGCCACAGCTGGAATCGTGACTAACAGGACTTTAATCAATCTAGTTAATAAGATGCTCTAGCGTTTTTTTTTCTTTTTTTTTTGCTTTTTGACTCTTCCGTGTGGTGTAACCTACTAGTACTCCTAGCAAGGAAACACGTTTGGAGAGAGATATGACAAGCGTGTCCTACCACCGGACGGCCGGAGAGATAGCTACTAGCCGTGACGCCAAAAGCCAAGGCACAGGTGGTACTGTGGTAGGCACGGGCACATTGGCAGCGCAACCCCTTCGGTCTTCCTCCCTACCGAGAAAAACACCCCAAAACAGTATATTCGGAGGAGAGTAAAAACAGGATGCCTACAGTGGAGTACCAAAGGCTTCAAGAGATCAGACCGCCAGACGCAGAGGCGGCGTCCGGCGTACATACAGGAGCAGCAACACCGGGTAGAGCGGATACGGTGACCTTTCAACTTCAGCACCAGCATCCTCTCGCTCTCCCACAAGCTGAAGCAACAGCGGGAAGCAACAGGCAACAACGGGGAGCAGGGATGAGGTGACGCGCGGACCAATGGCGCGGAGGGTAGGGGGCCACTCTCCCCTGACCACCTCGTGGCAGACACCTGGCTCCATCGGCCTGGGGGATCGGAGCGGCACCGTAGCAGGCAGTCAGGCAGGCACCACCGTGACCTTTGCCATAAAAAGCTACTGCTCCTTCGTACGACGCTGTCCTACACCCTCATCCTATACTGAGCGCTTGCTGCCTGGCTAGGCTTCTGTTCATGCTGCCGATGCGCCAACGCGGCCGTCCTCATCCATCCTCACTCTCTCTTCTCTCTCGTCGCCATTGGCTAGTTTATGCGTCTGTTCCATAAATACGAGTAGTAGGCAGTTGCTCACTGGTCCTTTGCGCAAGATACTCCTACCAGCCTCTGGACTGCTCCCGAAGCGCGCCGCAGATCTACTCCAACACCTGTAAGGATTGCTGTCGCCGTGGCTTTTCCGGCAGCTAGCTAGGGTTCTTCTCTCTCGCTCCGCTTGCTTTTCGTCCTTCCTCTTCTTTTCTTTGCTTGGTCAAATTACCGCTTCATCTCTTCCTGTGCTCTCTCGTCTTCTTGTGATTGTTGGCAGCTGCAGCGGCGCCGCCGCCGGTGGAGGAGAGCAAGAGAGGCACGATGGCCGGGAAGCGGGAGCGGATAGCGATACGGAGGATCGACAACCTGGCGGCGAGGCAGGTGACCTTCTCCAAGAGGCGGCGGGGGCTGTTTAAGAAGGCCGAGGAGCTCTCCATCCTCTGCGACGCCGAGGTCGGCCTCGTCGTCTTCTCCGCCACCGGCAAACTCTTCCACTTAGCAAGCTCCAGGTACCTATCTATCTATGGATATATATAGACCTTGCGCCGTGCCACGGCTGCCATCCGCGGCCGGTCATCTTCCTCCTGCGATTGTTCTTGGTTTATTGATCGATGCGTTTGGGACTCCGCTAGCTCTTGGATTTTAATTTCGTTCTTCCATCTCGTCTGGGGCTTAGACCTACATCTTGGTACTGGATGCCCTAATTTCGATTCCGTATTTGTTCTTCTTTAATTGGGCGTCTTAATTGATTGATCGGTTAATTCCGCAATTAGAAACCTGATTTCTCTATTTCTTGAGATCGGGGATTCTTGTCTCCCTGTCTCCAACAACTTGGGTATGCGGCTGATCCGCTGTGCCTTTTCTGGAACCAAGCTTGTCTATGACATGTCACATGTGGATTGATATTTGATGGTCGATATTTCAATGTATGATTAAGCAACTCCTGCCGGTCGTTCTGTTGATCAAAGGAGAAAGTTCTTGCTTGTTCGCCAATAAGTTCCTTTCGCCATTGTCAACAATGACTCAGATTGTTTGACTGTCGTTTCGATATCGATTATGTGTCTTTTGGGTGTCATGTTTTACCCCCATTTTCCAGAGATTCTCATATGCTTGCTTCGTGGTGCTCGCCTGTTCTAAGCTGGGATTGGGGAAAAAAAACATTGTCCCTGGATTTATCCTGTCGCTGCCTAACAGATTCAGATTTTATTAATATTAATTAGTGTTATTCTTTTTTCTATCCGCATAATGATATACTTCAAGGTTAGTGGTAAATTCACCTGATTAATTGCTTTCAAGGTAATGGTACTTTCAAGTAATTAGGCAATACTTTCAGTAACCCACCCCAAAAAAGGGCATGCTGATCAGTCAGTGTGATTTCATCATATCTAATTTCTTGTCAAGGTTTCATCTATTGATGTGAATTGAGATAGAATATACGATATGCGTTCAACATTTCAATGACCTTTTTTCACTGCTCTTCTCCTACTCTTGCCGTCCCTAAAGAATGCACTCTTATTTTTTTAGGAGTCAAACTTTTTAAGTTTGAGCATATATATAAAAATATACTAATATATATGATGTGTAATGAGTACCAGATAATAATAGATCATATATTGTTATAATATAACAAATATATTTAGAGATATATTTTTATAAATCTAGTTAAAAATAAAAAATGACCCTAAAAAGTGTGTATTTTCTTTTAACGGAGGGAGTATATAATACTAAAAGAACTTGGAATGTGTGGAAGAGAGTAGACAGATGGAGGGGAGGGTTCTCTCTTTTGGCAGTGTGACCAGTAAAAAACAGATCCTCTTTGAGAAAAGGTAGATGTCACAAGCCTTCGTTCTGATCTGCAACTAAATTTTTTCTGCACCTTTTGTACAAGTTGCTTCGATTTCCATGTTTCTTCTATTGCTCTTGTTCGTCTACCACGTTTCCATTTCCATTTTTTAATGCACGTTTACATTTCTTTTGACTTCACCGTCGATGTGGATCGTGCAAATAACCCGGACATCCTACCTAGAAATGCTTTCTAGCTGGTCAGAGCTTTCTCCACATGTATTCCGGGCTTGCCAGAAAATGCCTCGGAATGTTCATGCGACTTACATGATTGATATCTTTTTCACCCTAAGAAAAAAAAGGGGAAAATGTGATACTTCATTTCGTACTTTACACCTAATCCGAGGTACCTGCCATTTTGTTTTAACTTCCGCTCCCTCAGTTTTGAAATATTAGAGATTTACTAAGTCCATAAAAAATAAGTATAATAATATTTACAATATCAAATGAGTTTCATTTGATATACTACTATAAAAACATTTTCATAATTTACCTCCTTGATGTCTTAACTATTAATACTTTTGTCTAGGTCAAATTTTAGATGATTTGACTTAGGACATATGGAAACCTCTTATGTTCTAGGACAGATGTAGTAGTTAAGGTTTATGTTGTCCATATTTTCCAATGAAATAGAGCTTAAATTGCATGTTGTTTATGTATCATAACATAAACGATTAACTGTAGGCTTCTGCTTACTCAAATTTAAAACTGTCTTTTTACGATGATGAGTTTGGGCACACGTAAGCTATCTTCAGTTGAGCTTTTCTCATCACTTAAGTCTCGATAACATATATGGTAGTAAAATGCTCTCAACTTTGGATAAAAATTCTTGTGGGTAAACTGCACCAGCTGAAATAGTTGGAGGAAGTAAATAAAATCAAACATTAGTTTAGTAGATTGTCTGGACATTGGCCGAACTTATTGATGGAAGTAATTTGGACCTTTTCTGGTTTCAAAATAAGCCATATTTTATCATAATGTTCCAAAATAAGCCACCTTTTCTGGTTCATCTTGTTTTGGCATCTAGTTTGATATTTTATCATAATGTTCATAACCCCATTACCATTATAGACATCTTTATATAAGACATGTGCATTTCCTCTGTTGGTTCGCGTAACACGAGTGGTGTGGGCCTTGCAAGTTCAAGTGCTACAAACCACATTTAGGTACGTTTACTTAATATATATAATATAAAATGGTGTCACTCATTAGTAGTGGTGGCCACCTAGCACTAGCAGCCTGAAAGGATCAATATACCCAAGAGGGGGGTAAATTAGGCTAATTCAAAATTCTATGCAATAATTAATCCCTACACTTAGCCCACTTCACCCCTTGTGCCTGAATGTATTTCTATTGTTCTCACGCACAAAAGTTTTGCACGCTAGGTTCCAATCCTACTCTAGCATGGCAATTCTAGGAATGTAAAGACATGAAATGAATTGCTCAAATGTAAATGCTCAAAGTAAAGAGAGGGAAAGGAACGTGGCGATGTTTTCCCGAGGTATCGGAGAGTCGTCACTCCCCACTAGTCCTCGTTGGAGCACCCGCGCAAGGGTGTAGCTCTCCCTTGATCGGCGCAAGGATCAAGTGCTCTCTACGGGTTGATTCTTTGACACTCCGTCGCGGTGAATCGTCCACAACCGCTCACAACTTGACTTGGGTCATCTACAAGCTCTGTCGGATGATCACCAAGCTCCCAATCACCACCGAACCATCTAGGTGATGGCGATCACCAAGAGTAACAAGCACAAATTATCACTTGACCAAGACAAGTCTAATGAGAAGGGTGGATGCACACTTGCTACTCCCTGTGTACTAATGAGGTCCTTAATCTTGGATTCTCAAATCTCAATCACCTCACTAAGCTCTTGCTTTCCCTTGCACTCCAAAGGTGTTTCTCAGCTAAACAAATGGGCAAGAGACCTCCCATGGACGAGTAGGGTAAGTATTTATATCCCCTCATTCAAAACATAACGTTTGGAGGCTGAGTCAGCATTCTGCGGGTTGACCGGACGCTCCGGTCAGAGTGACCGGACGTTCCGGTCAGTTATACCCACCACTGTGTTAGAGAGAGCCGTTAAGCTCTGACCGGACTTTGACCAGCGTCTGGTCAGCACTGACTGGACACATTCGGTCAAGAAAAATCCTCTCTGGAACCTCTCTGGAATGGACCGGATGCAGGTACCCCAGCGTCCAGTCATCACCTATCGGACGCGTCCGGTCAGGAAAAACTCTCTGGAACCTTACTGATGTTGATCGGACGCTGACACCCAGAGTCCGGTCACTTCACTGTTCATCGTCCGGTCAGTACCAGACGACTGCAGTTGATCAAATGAACTGACCGGACTCACCCACCAGCGTCCGATCATAGCCAGACCAGCTTCCCATCAGTCATTTGACCCTTTATTCACTTCCAACTCGAAATCCTATGTGAATGAAGTTGACTTCTATTGATCTTAGGGTTATTTCTGAGCTACCTAGTGCTAGGTTTGACAAGTGTGCACCACACCTAACCCACTAGACTCACCTAGGTCAAGCTACTAGTCCATAACCCCTTTTATAGTATGGCCAAAGGAAAAACAAAGTCATAAACTACTCTAAGTGTCTCTCCAACAGCAAACGACACTTAGAACAGCAAACAGCAGAAATACAACTCCGATCTTCGGGTGAATACTCTAATTCCACAGGGACAACTGACTGGTTGATCACAAGCCTATTTCCTCCAAACTCTAGCAATCTGGTATCCATCCGGGATTTTTTCAAAGATTTAAAAAGTAAAGCAAGCGTAAGTACATGTCGTACTCAACAAATATAACATGGGGTTCATGAAGCTCAAAAGGCTGACACTGGTTTAACTGCGATTAGCTTTTAATGAGTCATCTTTTAGCAATTGGGTGGCAATAAGTTTATTCACAAGCTCATATAAACACATGATCAGGTAAACATGAATAATGAATAGCATAAACAATAATCATTAGTGAGCAACTTTATCATCAGTGTTTATCATCTATTCCGTAAGGGTCCAAGGCCGCTCGTGACTGTGAGCACGGCTGATATACCAGTTTTACACTCTGCAGAGATAGTACACTTTCACTGTGAGTCGTGATTTACCCTTTCGTCCGAGGCGGCCAACCTCTTGACCCAATACCAAGGAAAGTCGACAGGGTTCACTATGAAGTTTTTCAAAGGTTTGTCTAACAAGTTAGGGCCATTAGATTAACTCAGCAAACAGATGTAGAGCCCACCTTCCCGATGGCCCAATGACGCGCAGCCTATACACAAGGGGACAGAGGCCGCACTATACCCGATTCGTCAATCCATTCTTACGTCAGTAAAGGTAACCACTAACAATCTAGAAAAGGTCCTCATACTGAGCTAAAGCCAGAGCCATGTAGCCTTCACAGCTGTACTGTAAGTCCCGGATGTTCGCTTACAGATAAGTCCTTAGGGAGAGAAATCTAGAGCACCATAAAATAGCCAAATGCTCTAGCCCCCTTGTTCCATGTTGCTAAAAAACATCTTTTAGTGTTTATTGCATATACCATTAGTCAAGTTACAAGATCATAACTTTAGTTTGAGCACTAGCATCATACTACCCAATGCAATACCCCATAGGAATCAAGGCACAAGGTACAAAGTAATAGAAAATCCTTAGTGGTAATCAAGGTAGACACATGCAGCATGAATTAAATGATTAAAGGTGTATAGGACAACAAGGAAGATCCCATGCTATACTTGCCTTAAAACTCTGATCTTCTTGTATTGAATTGTAACCTCGAAAAGACTTCTTGTATATCACCAACTTCTTCTATATCACCAACGCAAAGCTCACCGACTGGACATGATCATAGAACACCACACAGGCATCCATGCAATCATACACGAAGCAAACAATAAAACTAAATTAGAACAGTACACCAAACATAATAAACAGCAAGTAAAAAGGTTTTAATGATGTTCTACACATTACTACGATCACACAGACGCGAAAAGCACTCTAATCAGAGCTATAACGAAAAAGGTATGAATTAAACAAGATTTCCTTTTATAAAATAATAGATTAAATCTAACCTCGAATTTCAAAAGTTGAAAACATATTTAACAGTAGTATAAATATGTAGATTACTCAATTACGAATCTAACGCAACTTGAACGGATTAAATCGGAGTTAAAACAGAGAAGTTATGGCCTAGAGAAAATAGTGGCAAAACTGTAAATAGATGGAAATGTATTTTGAATCTACTAGAAAGAAACTACGCTTCGTAATAGAAAACGATTTCGAAGTGCTTGCGATGGATCATGGGATAGATTATTCAAAAGCCGAGGGTCTCTTTAGCAAAAGTACAGGGACGGTGGGTTCTAATCTACAAAAATGCGAGGGCTCTTTTGAAAAACTGTCGGCCGAACCGGTATGGTGCGATCATGGCCGTTAGATCTAAGATGGACGGCTCAGATTAGAATCGAGGAGGGAGAAAGAGTCACCGGCCGGAGAAGAATGTCGGCGTGGCGGAGCTCCATTACCGGCGACAAGAAGCTTGCCGGAGCGCTCGGTTTGGGTCCTAGAGGCCACGGTTTGACGAGCCGAGAGCACAGAGAACAAGAGGAGAAGTCGGTGAACTCACCTAGGGCCTTCTTGCGGTCGACGGCGGGTCTCTGGCGTCGAGGCAATGCACAGGGGCACAATGAGCTCCGGTGAAGGTTTGGCGGCCGCACATGAAAGCGAAAGCTAGAGCGAGAAAAGAAGAAATAAGGGGCTCGGCGGCTTCGCAGACTCGATGCGAATCTCGGGATCGGCTTACGATGGCAGCGAAGTGGCTAGGCGAGCACGGCGGCGGCAAGCTCCTCGGCGAGATTCAAACGGCGCGACGACTCGGGTGGAGGCGATGTGGCTTGCTCTAGGGCTTGGTAGGGAGGCGGTGATCGCAGGGCTACTATTTAAGGCTAGGGAGCTTGGCGCGCACGGCAAGGTGTGGAGGCGTGGCGGCGTGGGGCTCTCAACGACGGCGGAGCAGACTTCGGGTCGACGACGACTCGGGGAGGAAGAGGACTCCTGCTGACGCGTGGGCCCGGTCTAGCAGAGAGAGAGAGGAGAGGGAATGCGCGGTCTAGCGGATTGGGCAGCCAGGAGAGCAGTCTTGAGGCGATTGGGGCGGCAAGGTGGTGGGCAGCAAGGGAGGAAAACGGAGAAATGCATGGGGAGAGAGAAAAATGGGGAGGCTGGGGCGACTGCGAAGAGAAGGAGATGGGCTTTATGGTGGGCAGTGAGGCCAAAAACCAAAGTGAGAGGAGGCGTGAGAGTGAGAGTTTTTTTCCTTTTATTTCTCTTCTTTTCAATTCTATTTTCAAATCCATTTTCAAACTTAGTTTGAAATAATTTGAACTTTGGTCAAATCCACACAGTACAATAAAACATATGTGCTAGCATGAATGCACAAAAATGTTGCTAAGCCTTATGATAGATTTTAATTTAATGAAAAATATTATTTTTCCTATTATTTTATGAACACAAAAATACCAAATTAAATCATTTTAACCTATTTTTAAAAAAAATGAAATTTTTAGGGTGTTACATTAGTTTAGTCATTTCGTGGCAAACAGTGTGAGATTTTAAATCACTGGCACTAGCTGCCTGTGCATGATGACATCATTCATCAGGAGGGCTAGTGAAAAAGATTGACCAATCCAATCTGAAGGAATTTGTGCATCGTACTTCGTTCCACATTTGCCCGGAGAGTGGGTGTCAAAAGGCAGTGGGCATTTACTAACACGATATAAAGGTTAGCATTGCTGGCCCCGCCTGGGCAGTCTGATGTGAAGATAGGATGAACACAACTCATCATTTGCTTTTGTTACACGCCATTTCACTGTAGGTGTCTATACGTTCAATATTCAGGCCAAGCATTTTATAATAGGCATACAATTTTGTTGTGGCATGGATGATGTTTTTGTTTTAAAAAATATTTTAAGCCAAACACTATTAACCGAAAAATTTAGAATCACCAATCTGCTAACGAAAATGCTAGTGTCTGCTGACCGTTGCAGTGCATAAAGTTTAAGCAGGTAGTTAAGATTTTCTTAAAGTTTAACACTAGGAACACCATTGCTACATATTTTCTCCTGATTAATACTACAAGTTATGAGGCTTTTTGCTGTCATGCATGTAAGCTGGACGAAGTAGGCCTGAATATCCCCGGTTCAGTGCATGAAATATCAATAGTTACACAACAGTACTAAGCCTCCCAGATTTCGCGTGTAGACCTGACGATATCTCCATGCTCAGAAGCATGGCCTACTTAATATGGGTTTCTAGAAAAACAATACTTACATCTAGTTGCTGAAACAAATTGCCTTGGTATTGAAGCCATCATCTCTATCTGAAGTACATCAGTTAGTCGTATTATTTAATCTTTACTAAACTGTGCAGTCAGCTGATCAGTTGATCTGCCCAATATTTCTGCAGCATGAAGCAGGTAATCGATCGGTACGACTCCCATTCCAAGAATCTCCAGAAGTCCGAAGCGCCGTCTCAGCTGCAGTCACATGTGAGCTAGAATTCATCCTGTAATTGTTAACGTTTATTACTCCAATTTGCGGACACAAACTCAATGGCAGAATGGGTACAACGATGTGTGTACTAACAGCTTTCGTTTCTGTGATGTGTGTGTTACAGATTGATGACGGCACTTGTGCAAGGCTAAAGGAGGAGCTTGCTGAAACCAGCCTTAAGCTCAGGTGCACATCTATCCTACAATTTAATTTACACATACGCATGTAGTTCAAAAGCAGGACTATAATCTACATGCACCTGCCAGTTTTATCTTTTGGGACAAAACCCTTCTTTTTTATTTAAGCAACCTCAAGAAGGACACAGAGTTCTCTCTACTATACAAATGATTTAGAAAAGTCCCATTGTTTCATAGAGATTATTGTGATTTTCAGATGCCCCTGTAAATCCAATAGAGTGGCTCAGCTAATATGTAGACCACCTTAGAAACTCTAGGGGTGATTGGTAACTCACCGACTGCCTTAGAAAATAGACATTTCTAGGAACGGTTAGACCCGAGCATTTCAGTCCAAGATCAGGCCCGAGCCTGTTAGGCTTAGCCCAACCCGCATCTCTTATTGGACAGGGCCTAGACAACAAAGCACAATCCCCCAAAAAGGTATGAATTTCAATTGTCGATCTTTCTACTAAAAATTATCAAGCGGCCTGCCTAAGCTCGGGCCCGGACCTGCCCACCATGGATTTTTCACCCAAAATGAATCTGGCCTTTTTCGGCCTACCCCGCAAAATGCTCATGACTAATTGGCTTTTTTAGATTTTTCAACGCCCATTGATAAGGTGGTTCTTTCTAGAAATAGTTGACGCGCAGATAAATCATATGTTTTTCAAAAAAGTTGGATGAAGACAAATTTTATATTAAAATTGTACAACTTGAAAAGACATAAAATTTGTAGTCGGCAACTTTTTCATTTGAAATTATTTAGGGGACCCAAATATTTATTTTCATTTGAAATTGCTAGACCCAAATATTCATTTTTTAAAAAAAAAACTTAATTTAATGTTTTTAATATTTCAAATGGCCTCGAATGGAGGCACGCTTTAAACTAAAGTTGTAGTGCTTGATAAGAGCCAACAATTTTTTTCATTTGATATTGCTTAAGGGCATAAATATTCCAAAAGGATCCAGACAAGTTAATACAAAAGAATAGCTCCTGATATGTAGTCACAAGTGAAGGGATCATATAGGGGACTTGAGATCATGGATTCAAATCCTAAGAATAGCTCCTGATATCTAGTCACAAGTGAAGGGGTTACAGAGGACTTGAGGTCATGGATTCAAATCCTCGAGGATGCATGTACGTGCATTTCTTGCAAAAAAAATAGTACTGGCTTATGAGGTAGTTGCTTGGGCATGAGAAAATTATTTTCCTTATTTATGTTGTTTTCCTTTGTGTGATTCTATGGAAAATATTTCTAGGGGCCACCGAGCATGGAAATCAATTTCTAGGGACTAAGATGGCGCAACCCTACAAATGCTTGATTTCTAGAGACCTTTTCATAGAGGCATGCGCAGATTTCACCTCAACAAATCCATTTGACCTCAGTGACAAATTGTTTCTGTAGTAGTATCAAGTTGTTCACCGTAGGTAGAAAAAGAGTTGGTTCAATTTACAAAGCAAAAACCTGGCCTAAGAACCATACATATGGATATAGGGACACCAGCAAGACCAAAGTACAACACCCTAAACTTCCAACCTGAATCAACCCACAACAAACAAATAACCATTCTTGAATATAATTATTTGCTAAATTATGGTTATTATTTTTCTCACCGTAATCCTCTCCACAATGTCTCTCTCTTGCCTGCCCCAACCGATCGAGACTCACCAGCTAACCCTATGTCTTCGCCCGTCGCCACTGGTGGTAGCCAGCCATCACACACTCTCGTCCCTCCTCACTTCCTCCTCTGGTCCACCATTGCATGTGCTTGCCCCTTTCCTTCTCCTTCACTCCCACTTCCCCTTGGCCCTAGGCCCATGCCGGCCAATGCAAGATTTGTTGTCGTCGGGTCTAGATGACCAGACATGGGCGACTCTAGCTTGTTGTCACTTGCCCTCCTAGTTCCGGGAGTGTTATTATGGAACCTCGATCAGGGTCCTCAACACAAGGATGGCCCGGGGGGTGCGGTCGGCATGGGGGACCTCCATGCGGACCATCACGGTGACCACGAGGCCAAAAAATGCTGGGCTAGCCTTGTTGTACAGTTAGTCAGCAGTGCCTGCGTAGGTGGCATGATTCTGTCTGGATCCGTTATGTCCTTGCATGGTTCTACGATGGAGTGGAGCTATGTGCTCGTTTGGTTGTTGGTCATTGCAGTTTTGCACTAGGAAGGCATATCCACATTCGAATATGTCACTTCATCTCCTAGGGTGGTCGCGCTATTAGTCACCGGCCGGGTTTCGATGTTGTGTTGGGATGTATCCTTGGGTGGTTCATGCTGGTAAATGGTTGTGTCCTTGGTCACGCTCTTCTTGTGGTCGTCGCCGTCTTCCATAGATGTCTCTGTTGCTATCATGCAATGAGCCTCCAACATCCCCGTCTTGCTCCTTGCCTGTTCCTCGTAGCTCCAAGTCACTTTGGTTGTGGTCGTTTTTTATCCATAACGCTTTGGTCATGACTGTGTTCGTTTGCCGTTGATAGAGCCTAAGCTTCCGCACTACTCCTTACTATGGTTGTGGGCCTGTGCCATCCATTGTACGCTAGTACCATTGTAGGGAGGGCTACACCCCTTCGTGGTTCTCCTCTTGTGTTGGTGCGAAGCCGGCAATGTGGGTCCTCTTGGTTGTTCTTTCTACCCTGTGTAAACTCATATTCATTGTGGATTCCCTGTCGTTATGGTGCCACCACTATGTGGTCATGTTGGTCTTGTGCATGGTAAGGTTTGGGGTGTCACAAGCGAAAGCTCTAGCAAGTTTTTGCCAGCGTCGCTAGTTATTGTGCCCGTAGGCATAGTTCACGTTCTTGGGGGGTCAGGGGCTATCTTGGTCACCATACACCCTTTGGTTTTGTTAGGTGAAGAGTCCACCAAGGGGTTGTTGCGTTGGTTGTTCATCCTTTCTTTGCTTAGCCTTGGGATGTGGCATTGCTGAAATTATGTGCCCTAGTGTTGTTTGGTGCTTAGGGTAGAGGATATGTCATGGGGGGTGTATGGTGAAAACCCTAGCCAGATTTTGGTCGCCGATGTAGTTTTGTGCCCTAGGGTTGTTTGGTGCATAGGTTAGATGATAGTCATGGGGGTATAGGGTGAAAGCCCTACCTGGCTCTGGATGAGGCCGACAATGGTGACACTCTCAGGCATCATTCACCTTGTTGGGGGCATTGTTATGAAACCGCATTCCACCTATGTTCCCTAGGCGAAAACTTAGTTCACTTTTGTCGGATGAACAATGACACCGCCTTGTGGGTTATGTCCTTCTAAGAAGCATTATCTTGAGAACTACTCCGCTCTACCATTGCTAGTAGCTTAGGTACGAGGTCGTCGTCATCCCCACTACTCACCGGTAATTGTTGCTGGGTAATCACTTGTGGACCTAAAGCGGCTGCTCTCTCACCGTGGGCTCTGGTTACTACTTGGTCACTATTGTGGACTCCTTGTTGTGTGGTCGTCTCTATTTAGTTCGGTGTTTGTTCCTTGGTTGTCGCTTGTGGAGCTAGCTGCTCTCTTGCGATGGGCTCTCTAGATGTTGCTTGGTCATCGTTGTGGTGCTATGAAGGCTACTTTCTGGTTATTGCTTGGTAACGCTTGTGGTGTTTTTGTGGCTGCTTATTAGTTATGGTTACTGTTGTTGCTTGGTCATCCTTATGGGCTGAGGCGGTTGCTCTCCCGTTGCGGAGTTTTTGGTGGCTCCGTTGTTGCTCGTGGAGCGAAGGTGGCGGAGGACCGGACTGGTGCTGGCGGTTGTTCTCTTGTTGCAGTATATTCATTTGCTGCTTGGTTGTCTCATCGCCGCCTCTCACATGCTTGTTTTATTGTATTTGTTGGAGGTCTAGGTTGTAGGGTTAGTCTTTTGTCTTGTGTGAGAGAGTTTTTGGCTGTAGCCTTTGTTTTTCTTGTTTGGTAGTTCGTCGTTTTATGATGTATGTTTTGGTTCCTCCTTGATCGCCTTTAAGATAGTAAGTCACTTATTTGACTATTGCTTACCTTTCTTTCTATTATTTTTGTTTAGTCGTTGTAAAAATTACAAAAAAAAATTAAAGAAATGTGTGGAAACGACTGTTTTTTGATAAAATAGGTGATCATCATGTTGTAAAAGTAACCGTTAATTCTCTTCAGGCAGATGAGAGGAGAGGAGCTCCAAAGGCTGAGCGTCCAACAGCTGCAAGAGCTTGAGAAGACCCTTGAATCCGGCCTCGGCTCTGTACTCAAAACCAAGGTATCTGATACTCGTGAGTTGTGACAGCATCAGACTGTACAGTAATGATGCATAGCATAATCATCTCTTTCCCTGTCAAAATTGTAGAGCCAAAAAATCCTTGACGAGATCCGCGGTCTGGAAAGAAAGGCAAGCATAACTCCCTTTTCAAACTGCTTTAGTTAATTTATTTCCAAACAAGATGCTTCAGACCTAGGCTAGCGCTGCAGCTTAATCAACTGTGTGGAAAACTTCAGAGAAATTTCAGCACCTCACCACCTGATAAAAGATGCAACTGAAATCTTTCACATTACGTTCAGCCAGATCCTGTTTCCTGCCTTCTGACAGCGTCAGTTGTGTTGTTGAACAGAGAATGGAACTGATCGAGGAGAATTCAAGGCTGAAGGAGCAAGTAAATTCCTGCTCTCCCCTGCTGAGTTTTCCATTCTGCTCTTCATTTGTTTCGAGCGATGTCTCGGTGCTTAAGCTACGGCGATCTGAAGCTGCAGGTGACCCGGATGCCAAGGATGGAGACGCAGCTTGGCGTCGATTCAGAAATTGTGTATGAGGAAGGGCAGTCATCTGAATCTGTGACAAACACATCCTATCCGCGCCCATCAACAGACACTGACGACTGCTCCGATACATCGCTCAGGCTCGGGTGAGTCTAGAGTTCTTCCCCAGCAGACCTCACATCAGATAACGTGTTCATCTCAAGCCAACGCACATCAGAAATTCCATGTAAATATGCTGGTGACTCGTGAGATAACGCATATGGAAATAGCACTAACCATATGAATCTGCATACTGTAGGCTACCATTCTTCAGCTCGAAGTGATGGAAATCAGGAAATTTGACATGTTCGTTTGCGGAGCGGTGCCGATTACTTGCCCTCTCCCTTCTGAATTGAGGAGCAGGATTGCTGGATTAGTGACCAACGCGTCGCATCAAAATAAGGCATTCGAGTGCTGTAAGTGTGTATTCTGAAAGTGAGTGAGACATGCTTTTGTTATATACAGGCAGCATGGTAATACATAACGGGTACCCGCTAGGATGCTACCTGCAGTCCGTGTTCTGTCCTCTGTTTTTAGTACTCGTATGATCCCCCTGCAAACCATGTTACCTGCAGCTCGTGCTTTTGTTATACAGCATGATCATCGTTAGGAGTTATTCCAGTCCCTGCAAATAACTTCCAGTACTTCTGCTCTTCACAATATCAAACATGTCACGCTGTTAGTATTGTGGATTTGGACTCTGATCATTCTTTGTAGTAGGAACTTAGATGCGAATGTAGCATACAGAGCAGGTGGACTTGCAGCAAAGTAGCAATGGAATTTGATAAACAAAAGATACTCCAAGCTAAAGAGGGCGTTCTTGGCATCCACAGGGAGCGATTTCTTTGAACTTTCTGCTTAATTCGAACGTGTTACACCTACTCATGGTTCGTATTTTGGCTTTAACGAATGAGAACCACTAACATGCATGAAGCCTTTCAAGCACCTGTCCTACTTTATACAGGAACATAATTGCCCTCATATCTGCAGATGATAGCGAGGTGAGACATGATGGCACTTTAGAATCTTTATTAGCTGAAGCCTGGAGACTAGTCATGTGGGGTCGTTTATGTCCTCTGAATCGCGTTCGCCTGAAGCAAAAATGCAATCAGACCTTTGGTTTCACTAACGTTGCAATCAGATCTTTACTGCTCGATTTACATGCTTTAAGCTACACAGTTTAACTGTCAGTGGTGAAGAAAAACGTCAGTTTTAACCTGCTTCACTTTCTTTTGCTTTTATATAAGTTTTTACATGTGCGCTGTCAGCCTGCCTCATGTAATCATGTTAGGATGCATGGTTAGTACTAGAAACGGAGAGCAGCGCATGGATGCGTGGGAGACGCAACGGCAAACCCTGGTCAAATTATTTCAGCTTTCAGGATCATTTTATTCCATAACCAGATGCTACATCAGACGGCGCCGAGCCACGGCCGCGAGTCATGGGGGGCGGTGCAGATGATGGCTTCATCATGAGGGTCTGGGGCTCTCTAGCAAACAAGCTATAGGAGGCGCCTTCAGAAGCGTCAGGCATCTTGCATGGCGCGGCCTCCCTTGCGATCACCAGCAGGTTTCCTGGGAAATGGTCTCCCCATATGTCGTAGGTGAAGTCTTTCTTCGGCACAGGCGCAGCACCCCCGTCTCTCTTCACAGCCTTGTCTTTCATCAGGTTGGAGCCAGGAGCACGACAGTGTGGAGTGATCGGTGAAGATTTGGCCAATGGCGGCGAGCGCCATGGGGTGGTGGTCAGTGCAGGAGATGGAGGTGATGTGATTCCAGTTCCAGGCGAGGCTGAACGCGAGCGAGGCTGCTCCTTAGCGACTTGCGACCAAGTTTTCTTCTCATGCTTAGCGCCAGTTGATGATGTGGTTGCCTCGACATCGAACCCAGTCTCGAGTTTATTTCCATGCTTCGAGTCTGATGGTGCTCCGGAAAAAGACCAACCTTGTTTTGGGGTTGAACTTTGTGACAATGGTGAAGACGGTGTTGAGTTCCCACTGTGGCTGCTAGAAACCTCAAACTTACCTGCCAGTCCTGCACCAACTCTCCGCTTCCTTCGTTTCCCTTTGTCTCGGGCAATCCTGATGGTGAGATTTTCACTAGTCTGTGGAGCTTCTCTTGAGGCCTTGTCTTCCACTGGATTAGCTCGGGACACGGATACAGTCGAAGTTGTATGCAGTTGTTCATCAGGATTATTCTTGTCATCTGTACTCTTTGAGCTATCAATAACACTGGCAGCGTATTTCTCAGCAAGAGCTTCTTCAGTTCTTTTGTGTTCCTTATTTGTCCTGTGCACACAAACCACAAATGATCAAACTTAAATAAATGTGAAAAAAAATGAAGTGGACTTGGGAAAAAGTAGAGGCACTGGTCAAAACTTACCTGGACTTTTTGCTGCTTTGGTGAAGGAAAGAGGGCTTAAGAGTCTTGCTAATGGTACTTTTCTTGTTCTCAAAAATGGTACTTTTCTGGTCATCGATCTTGATGTAATCTTGAGAGCCCACTGTCAAAGAATCTGGGACATATCGGACATAGACCAGAATAAGCAGTGTTAAAGCTCCAAAGAAGACTACCAACAGCTTCCAGTGGGCAGATCTGAGATAAGATTTTCTGCACTGGTTAAGCATGCAGACAGGAATAGTTGCAGTCATAGGGATCGGAAAGATGCCAGTAGTCATGACCAACTCAAGATCTCTCTGAACTATAGCTGAAGAGAAGTCAGCTTGAAAAGAAATGAGCATTCTTATTGATTCACTTGGCGCTAAAATAAATCCCTTGCAGTTGTCCACAGTAAATCCATCCACACCACAATCAGCTCCTGAAACTTTAACCTTTGTCACTTGGAGAGGAAGGTCACCGCTGTTTTTAACATGTATCTCTTTGGTTAACTGTTGACTGCACAAAGAGCTTGGGACCTCTTGTTTGGCCATTGTTGATTTATTCTGAACATTGGATCCAAGGCTAAGCTCTAGCTTCCAAGCAGGTTCAGATTCCTCTAGAAGGACAATAGATTGCCGTCCGCCATATGCCCGGAGAGGCAGCATCTCCACGCCTGACAGGTTGTTTCTGATCAAAACCATGCTTGACCACATGCAGTGATTCGAGGGACGGAAGACAACAGGACCAAGCAAAGCAGTCTCTAAAGGATCAACATAGGCCTCAGTGATTGCTGCTTCACCTAATGAGAAACCAAATCTAGTCTCAGTTGAGTTAATCTCTGGAGATTTGCTTGAGAATGTGAGTTCACATACATCGGTTACAGTTTTGCATTGGTCAATGATCTCCTCAGAGTTCACTATCAGCTGCATGGCTGCACGCTCCAGGCTTGGGTTATGGACCTTTATCCATTTAGAAAACTGTGAACCAATTTGCACAACGGGAAACAACATTTCATGATCCATAAGAACAGAAATCCCGTCACTTGTTCCATGAGATTTCCATTGTCTAAATATTCTATCATCAGCTTTGACTGCTCTCATGACCATTGACTGCAAATAATTTTATGATATTACATCAGCAGACTTACAAGCAAAAGGATATAGACTGATGTATTATCCAACTGAAATAAGCAATCAAACAGGTGCCAGCACTTAAGCACAAGGATAACAAAAAAATGTAGACAATTGGAAGGCAAAGTTCTATTTAGAAGAGCGATTTTAACTACTATAACAGGAATCAAGTTACCAAGGTACTCTGCTTATATACAGCTATAGGCATCAATCTCAAGACCAGAATAATCTATTACTAGTAGCAGGATCAGATAAAATTAAGGATTACTAAAAACATTTTTCTCTCTCTAGAACATCAAGCCATTTTAGGATCAGATAAAGTTAAAGACTCAGGTTTAGGTATTGAACATATTCTCTTCAATAATAATTATAGAGCAAGCTCCAGGTGAGTAAACCTAGCATACCAATTACTTGCCAGTTAAGCATAGACTCAACACCATGCAGTTTCATGCTAAGGGATGAAGACATCGCAGGGAAATTGAAGCTACACGCGATGGATTATGTGGGAGTGACGTGAAAGAAAAAAGAACAATACAGTGGGCTAGATATAACTACTCCATATCAAACAGCATAAGGTAATACTCATACTAGGCCATATGTCAAGTACAACTCCTAGTAAGCATTTAGCACTTCAACAAGAAAAGGCATTTAATATCAATGTAATCAATGAAGGTTCTATTTCTTGGTGAAAAGAAAAGTGTAAGGAGGAATACCTTCACATCATATGAGTCTTCTACTTGCAGCATGCTGCCCAATGTTCTCGTCCTTGCATTAGCAGAGATCTCTTCATCATATAATGATCTGGCAAACGGTCCATCGGATTCAGCAACAATAGCATTGCTAATATAGAAAAGAGATGCACGCACTAAATCTTTGCACGGTATTATGATTGAACTACCAAGGGTACTGTTTGTTTCTACAACTATATTGCAGCTGTCAGATGAAATGTCCTCTGGAACTGAAGAAGTATGTCTTACTAAAGCTATATCTGTTACAGTATCAGGTAAGAGTATCGATCCATTCAGGTACTTAACCTGAAAGATCATTGGGCCATTTATGTCATCCTCAGTAACACCTATAATCCTCAGTAACTTTGGTCCATCATTCCGTAAGGAAAGTGAAAATATTGACCCAGTTTCATCACAAGTCGATATATGCTCAAATGTGACAGCAATTAAGCCACTGGAATCATAGTAAGTTCGCGTATGCACCTCTAGCTCAATAGGTATCACAAAAGTATGAACTGTACTAGGAGTACCATTGCGCAGTTTCAAGCAGATAGCACCAAACACCTTGCCTTCAGAAACAGCTTGCAGTTTTAACTCTATTACAGTGTTGCTCTTTGAAGGAAGCACCTCCCATTGCTCACTAGGCCTGATATAGACCACTGGCCATCCAAATTCCTCACTGCTTGCTGTATACCAGTTGCTACCTGAAGAAGATAGCTCCAATGCTCCATCGAAGGGGCCTAGCTGGCAAACAAGGTGAGAAGAATACCTTGTGCTCTCCAATGAAGACATCCAAACAGCCACTTCCTCAACATAGAGAGTATCATCATATGGGTTGTATACCGATAAGTTCCTCTCTAGCTGTCCACCAATCACAACATCTATCCCTGTCAATGGCAGTATCTGATAGGACGAACTGACAGCCATGCCCTTTGCATGTATAATAAATCCACCAAAATTTGTCTGCACAACTAGATGTGCTGATGAAGAGCCCAACAACTTTGGCAAGAAAACGAAGGTGACTGTAGCATTATCCCCAGGCTGCAGCTCCAGATCCTCATAACCATACACATAAAACTGGGGATCAGTGCTGAATGGCTCATACAAACGCAGGACACTGTTGTTGTTCAAATTCACCACGGTCAAGTTGGCCTTGGTTGCGGCATACAAGTCGCTCCTGCCCCAATCCAGCACCGGGGGGTTAATTTCCACATTCATCGACAAGGGACTTTGAAGACCACTCGGGTCGGCATCTGTGGCCGTGCCATCCACCTCCGTGGGCACCCCAGCTGATGCCCGCATCCAATTGTCAGGCACAAGCGGCGCCTGGCATGACGCGACATTATACCTCGCTTTAGCATCGTTGTCTTTCCC